CGTGATCAGCAAGTCCTCTCAAGACTTAGACAGCTTGTTGTGCAGCCCACAACTCAGATTTTGGGTCTACTGTGCCACACCGAGCAGCCCGCCGGTCTGTACCGGTCCTTGGGAGGGTTTGTGTCCTCCGGGTCGGTCGAGTCGTCAAACACAACCTGTAGCCCTACTCATCCCGTGTGGGTTCGGTCAACAAAGCTCTATGACCACATATACAGAGTTCCTAACACGTGGACAGAAGAGACTCAATGCAGAAAGAAGAGACAAACCGACTCAGAAAGTACAATGGGGTGTGTGCACATCCATAGGGCGAGGGGATAGGCTGAAGGTTTTGCGAGAGTATACCAACTCCAGCTTGGTCAAACTTCGTGGTCAACGGCTCCGATCAATGACCTGGTCACCACCTTGGTCAACACCAATCAAAGCCCTGGTCAACTCCTTGGTCAACGCCGGTCAACCTTTCGGTCAACTCCTCTGTCAACGGCAGCATGTACCCCGATCAACGCTGAAACGCACTTTGGTCAACTTCGATAAACTCCTGGTCAACGCTGGTAAGTACCTTGATCACCTTGGCTATGGCTGCCAACCTTCGTTCTCACCTCCCTTCACCTTCCTTCTTCGTCCTCCCTCAGCTATGGCTTCTTTCTCGCCTCTCTCTCTATCTTCTTCACCTCCTGGTATAGCTTCCCTTTCTCCCTTATTCATCTCTCCTTCCTCCTCCACCTCACTCTCCCTCTCTTCGTCCCTTCTCTCTCCTCTTTACTCGTCTTCCCTGTGTCCGAGCTCGACAGCTATGGCTGCCACCTTCGTCCTTAGACCGCACAACAATTTTGTATTGCTCCTCTCTCTCTCTCTCTCTCTCTCTCTCTCTCTCTCTCTCTCTCTCTGTTCGTCGTTGTCTTCTGTGCAGGTTCGTGGCACCCTCCTTCAGCGGTGCGGCTATGGCAAACCACCCTCCTTCGTTGGCGCAGCTGCAGCTATGGCGTCGGGCTATGCACAACGGCGCTGGCGCGTGGAGTAACGGGAACCAGCTCTGATTCCAATGCAATCATACTCGCTTTCTTCTTTGCTTCACATACATGCAAACAGACCGCGATTCACACTGGCGCACAGCGCCCACTCAAAACTCAGAGAGATGGAAATCGAGAACTCAGTTCAGATGCAAACTTGCTTCCACAGGCTTATGGCGCATGAGCGCCTGCACATCCAACCCTCAATACTGTTCCCAACACCACTGTTCACACTCACTTAACTCTGAATCACCCTGAATACCCCACACACTTTCATACACTCACACCCTCTCTCCTATCTACAGCGGCTATGGCCGCTCACCTACTAGCTACGGCTACACTAACTTCTTCCAGCCCACTTCGACTTCGGGCGGTCTGCAGACCACCTCGCACAAGACACTGTAGCAGCGCTTCCGCATGGCTTACGCAGTGAATGATTGAATTGCTTGACGCTGCCTCTTGATTTATACTTCTGTTGGTCGCTGGTCTGCCCCTTTCCTTCCTTTGGTGCACACAGTCCCACACGGTACTTGCTTGACTGGACTAGGACTGACTGGGACCGGTACCGCTGACTGCATGGGTTTGCACTGCCAACTCGATGCAGTCGCACTGCTGACGTAACGCAGTTGAGCTCACCACTTGCCCACTTGCCTCTGTCTAAACGTGAGCCAACTTCGAAAGGCCACTTCCAGACCTTCCGGAAGTCTGTGGTCTTGGCCTTTCGAACACTGTAGCATCTACGACCTTAACCTTTCAGGACTGTAGCAGCTACGACCTTAACCTTTCAGGACTGTAGCAGCTACGACCTTGACCTCTCAGAACACCTACAGCTGCGACCTCTACAAGGCTGTGACCCCTGCTCATCAGATCTACAGATCGAACCCCTACACACACAGACTTACGACAGACATCAAACCACTACCAAAATACAGGTCACGGGTTCAAACACTCGAGGGTCAACTCGATACTGTACATGGCCAAGGTAAGGTTTGGGGATCGAACTCTAGTGCCCGCATCTGTGACTGCAGAAAGGGGAAAACCGTTTCACCCCCATTTCTTCCCCCCCTACTACTTACTGCGTCATCTTTCTCTTTACTTCCGCCATCTCTCATTCCTCCTTGTCCACCTCCTCCATCCTTCCTCCCTTGGTTTTCTTTTTCTCTTTTTCTCCTCGCCACCACGTCACCTCTCCTCCGCCTCCTTTGTCTTCCCTCTTCCCACACCTCCTCTGTCTCCCTCCTCGTCCATTTTCCTCCCGCCATCTTCCCTCCTCCACCTCCTCCTCAGTTCGTCGTCCATTTTTTGTGTTTTTTTTTGTTTTCGGTTCTCAACCTCTCAAACTTCTCCCCTTCGCCACGTCCTCCTTCATCTCACCTCCCTCCTGCTTCACCTCTTCCTCCATCCTTCCTCCCACCATTTTTTTTCCTGTTGTTGCCATGTCTCTCTCCTCCGCCTCCCCCGTGTTCCCTCTTCCTCCACCCCCTCCCTCCCCATCCATCTTTCCTCCCGCCATCTTCCCTCCTCCACCTCCTCCTCAGTCCATCGTCTGTTTTCTTTCTTTTTTTTTCTTCGGTTTGAAACTTTTCCCGTCGCCGCATCTCCTCCTCCACCTCCACCTCCATCTCACTGCCATGTCATCTCTCTCCTCCGCGTCCTCCATCTTCCCTCCTCCACCTCCCCTGTCTCCCTCCTCGTCCTCCATCTTTCCTGAAACGGTTTTCACCTCTTTGCAGTAGCAGACGCAGATCCCAGGGTTCAATCCCTAGACCTTGCCCTACCTGTGTACAGTACCTGTGTAGACTCCGAGAGTTGAACCTGTGACCTGTGTATTCGGAAACAGTTGATAGGCTGTCATAGGTCCGTAGGTAGCACGGGTTCGATCTGTAGACCTGTAGGATAGAAGCATTAGCGACGAAGTCTAGAAGTCCTAGCTATAGCCTTCTAGAAGGTCAGCAAGTGGGCAAGTGGGCAAGTGGTGAGTCAAGTGGTGGACTAAACTGCAGTGCAATTGCAGTACGACGGTGGTAGGTTAGCGGTGAGTCCCCACTCAGTCCGCGGTAAGGTCCAGTCAGTCCCAGTCCGGTCCAGCAAGTACCACAAGGGCCTGTGAGCACCATGGGCCAATGGAAGAGGGCAGACCAACGAGTTTCAGAAGTATAAATCAAGAGGCAGCGCCCAGCCTTTCATTCATTGCTGCGTGAGCCATGCGGAAGCGCTGCCACAGCGACTTGTGCAAGGAGGTCTGCAGTGAGCCCGGAGCTGAAGAGGGCGAGAGAAAAGGAGCGTAGCATAGCGATAGGGTAGTGGCAGCCATAGCTGTCATAGCTGTAGTTTAGTATTCTGTGTGTGTGTGTGTGTGTGTGTGAGTTCAGAGAGTCGCGTGTGGGATATCCAGGGTGATCCGGTGTATGTGAACAGCGAGTTGTTTGGGCGCTGAGTCGCCATAGCCAGTTGGAAGTGAACTCGTATCTGGATGCCATATTTGCTGCGCTACTGTTTACATGCATGAAAGGTGTGAATGAGAACGAGTCTGATTGCATTGGTATCGGAGCTGGTACCCGCTATTCCATGCGCGCCGTCGTGTGCAGGGCCTGATGCGCCATAGCAGAGGTGGCCACCGAGAGTAGTAGTCCGCCATAGCCGACCTGAAGGTTGGAGAAGTCGCCGCACACCTGCAGAGAAGACCACGACGAAGAAGAAGACCGAGAGAGAGAGAGAGAGAGAGAGAGAGAGAGAGAGAGAGAGAGAGGGAAAGGTTGAGCGATACAAGATTGGGTTACTACGTACCAACTGTGCTGGAGATATCGCTACGGCAAGAGAGAGAGAGAGAGAGAGGTTGAGCGATACAAGATTGGGTTACTACGTACCAACTGTGCTGGAGATATCGCTACGGCGAGAGAGAGAGAGAGANGAGAGAGAGAGAGAGGTTGAGCGATACAAGATTGGGTTACTACGTACCAACTGTGCTGGAGATATCGCTACGGCGAGAGAGAGAGAGAGAGAGAGAGAGAGAGAGAGAGAGAGAGAGAGAGAGAGAGATGAGCGATACAAGTTTGGCTGTTCCGTATCTGTGAAGTGTGCCGTGCAGTCCCACGAAGAAGAAGATAGCGGCCATAGCCTCGAAGCGTCACCACGGAGTAACGAAGGAGGGTGAGAGAGGACAAAGTGGGAGAGACCGAGCAGGGTAAGAGAAGCCATAGCCGAGGAGAGGAAGAGCAAGAGGCGAACAAAAAAAAAAAAAAAAAAGAGAGAAGAAGAAGACAGCCAGGGTGAAAAGAGGCGAGGAAGGTGAAGAGAAGAGGGAGGTTGGTGAGGAAAGAGAAGCCAGCAGCCATAGCTGACCGAAGGGTTGACCGGGAGAGTTGACCGGAGGTTGACCGCAGCGTTGACTGGCATTGACCAAGGCGTTGACCAAGACTTTGACCAAGCTGGAGCCGGTAAAATCTCGCCAAGCCTTCAGGCTATCCCTCGCCCTATGGATGTGCACACACCATGTGGTACTTGCTGAGTCCAGTCAGTCTGTCTCTTCTTTCTGCATCGAGTCTCTTCTGTCTAGGTGATAGTACTCTGTAGATGAAGGATAGGGCCGTGTTGACCAAACCCACACGGCCTGAGTAGGGCTAAAGACTGTGTCTGACGACTCGACTGTCCCGGAGGACACGAACCCTCCCAAGGACCGGTACTGACCGGCGGGCTGCTCGGTGTGGCACGGTAGGGCCAAAATTCGATCTGTGGGCTGCACAACAGGCCGTCTAAGTGTTGAGAGACCTGCTGATCGCGTCGTCCTGTCTGCGACGTAAAATAATTCCTGAGGAGTTACGGGGGATCTCCTTAAATGCCTCCTGATCAGCAACAGGTCTAGTAGTGACAACCATAGTTAGGTTCAGGCTAGAGACCCTACTTGGCAGGATCCCTGTCCGGATTCTGTGAGTCTTAGATTGAGTCAGTAGGTTTGTCAATCAGGGGTTAGAGTCTACGTGGTGAGGTTTGGAACCGTAACCCGGTTGTGCACGTGTCACCATGGTGGAGACCCGTAGTGGGACGAGCACTAGCCCCTACACCCAGGAACAGCAAGAGAAGATGGCCGCCTTAGTGAGAGAAAACAAGGAGAGGAAAGAGCTCCTGAAACAGGCGAAGTTAAAGACTATCGCAGAGGAGCAGGCGACGAAGATGAAGAAACTGGAGGAGGAGATGAAGAGAGTACAGCAGGAGGAGGAAGAGAGGAGAAAGGCTGCCGACGAGGAAGCAGCAGCAGAAGAAGAAAAAGAGAGAATGCGTATTGAAAGTAGAGAGGGGAGTAGTGGCACGAAGAAGGACGAAGACGTAGAGATGGAGAAGAAGATTAGCGAGTGGATAACTAACTTCTCGTTGGGGGAAGATGAAGAGGCATAGTTCTATGTGCCCCAAGACGAGAGGGATGCGCTAGCCCGGGAGCTAGCAGCACTGGAGGACCCCCTGGAAAGACAGGAAAGAGAGTAGGAGAAAAAGTTGGAGTGGAAATTGAGAATGAAGAGGGAGAAGAAGAGAAGGAGGGATGAAGTCAACAGGTTGACCGCAGCAGTGGCAAAAATGAAGGATTGTAGGAAGGAGGTGGAGGCTCAGGCAAACGACAAGGCCAAATGGGATAAGGTGGTGGGGTACCTGGAGGTGTTGAGCGCAGCTTGGATGGAGGAACGCCAAGCCAATAGAGCACAAGAGGTAGCCCTGAAGGCCATGCGGTTCGGTTTTCGGGATTTTGCGCGCGAGATGGTTACCCACGTTGGAGGGGAAGTCAGACAGTTGAGAGACAACGTGGGGCAACGTGGTGAAGTGTTGTGAGGGTGCCATTGAGGGCGCCAAAGTAATAACCGCTGCCGAGGGCAAGGCCAGACCTCGCAAAGAACCAGTCAAACTTAAATTCCCCGATGCTCATGGTGGGAAATCTGACGAGAACTTCGATAACTGGGAGGCTAGCATAAACAGCTACATTTACTTACAGCACATCGTACAGTACGATCAAGTCCTGGTAGCCTTCCAGGCCCTCGAGGACGAAGCGGCTAGTTTTGCTAGGTCCCTCGCGCGGGTGGCCGGTTGTGAAAACAACATGGTCGCCTATTCCAAGGTTACCCCTCTCCCTCAATTCTTCAAGCTCCTTAGGGAGCGATTCGCTGATCTTCGCAGAGGCGTTAGAGCCTCTGACAAGCTCCAAACTATCCACTCACGGCAGTGGAGGAGTGCCAAGGCACTCAAGGCAGTAATACACGACCTGGTGGCCGTCACGGACCATGGGGTGATTGAGTCCCAATTGGTCCAGCTATTTTATCGTGCCATGCCAGAGCCCCTGCGTGGGCACTTCTTTGACAAGTCCCAACAACCCACCATGACGTACGATGCGCTCAGTAGAGAGGTGATGCTGTTTGAGGCCAAGTCCATGCCAGTTACCACTTTCTGGCATAAGGACCTGGACAAGGGAAAGAAGTGGAAAGGTCGTACCATATCTGGCCAAGTCAGGGTCAAGGATCACATGATCCTTACCGTAGAGGAAGGTGGTATAGATGAGGTCCCATACAGGAGGACAGTAGCGTGGGGCAGGGGAGGTCCTATGCTGCTGTCGCCGCTGGAGGGAGGCCGCAAAGTAGAGGAGGAGGCCGAGGCCAAAGGGGCCAGGCCATGGGAGGCCGAGGACCGGGCGCACAAGGGGTTGGCGGACAAGGGAACCGCCAAGTGGGAGGTAGGGGTCAAGGTCCCCCGCCAAATCGCCAAAGTTCTTAGCGGTCCCCACAGCGACGAGGTGGAAGGGCACCTCAAGGAGGATGGCACCCAGGCTTGCCACAGGGCAGGCCTTGGGAGGATTTGGGCTTGGACCAGCGTATATGGCAAGAACGCGTGAACTTGGGTGAGTGCGTGTTTTGTGGTGCCCCGACCCACGTAATCAAATTTTGTCCTCAGTACAGATAGGCCCGTTGGGCTGCTCAGCAGTCAAAAGGCAGCCGCCAGTAGGGGTCGCAACTGCCCCTACTTCAAGGCCATGTACGGAAGTGAGCGCGCGCGAACAGGAAACTCCCAAACCACATGAGCCTATGGCAGAGGTTGCAGGCCCGTGCCTAGCTAGCTGTCCAGAGACTGCTTGTGTTAGCGTCTCTCTAGGCACGTCCCTCACAGGTGTGGCAGAAGAGCTGAAGGAGAGGATGCCAGCCTGGGCCAAAATGAAGAAAGCAAGGGACAACTGATTTTGGTAGATGTAGAAGTGTTTAGAAGTAGAGTAGGTGCCCTTATAAACTCAGGGGCCACCCGCGGTTACATTAGCCGTAGGGCGCTGAAGAAGTTGAGGCTAGGATTAAAAGTCCAAAAGTTGGCAGACCCCATAGTCAGCGTCCTCGTAGACAACCGCACGATGCGAGTTGAGGACTATGTAGAAAGAGTCCAGGCGTACTTCCACCTAGAGAAAGATGGGTAGGTGGAGAAAGTCCTCCATTCTTTGACTCTCCTCATACAAGATGACCTTCCCTTCGACATGGTGTTAGGAATGGATTGGGGAGAGGCAGCAGGGGCCACACTCCACTTAAGAGAGCATGAGTGTAGGCTCCCTAGTTCGTCAGGCAAGGTTAAGACTGCCTGCCTGTTTCATGTGTCAGGTGTAGATAACACCTTAGCACATTGCTATCTCAGTGCTCCCGCGTTCGCGCGATTAGTGAGAAGGAGCAATTAGAAGATCAGGTCTTTGTAGTTTATGTCAGACCTGTCACTGAGGCTAAGGAAGGAGATAGTTCCACAGACCCAACCTTTGCCAAGCTGCTGGAGGAATTCAGAGATTTAACTGAGTCGCTGACAGGAGTAGCGCCGCGACCCATCCAGCACAGGATAGAGATAGAGCCTAGCAGTAAGACTCCTAAGGGAGCAGTCTACAGGATGTCCCCTAGAGAGTTAGAGGAGCTACGCAAGCAGTTAGACGAGCTCCTCGAGAAAGGTTGGATCATGCCCAGTTCGTCTCCTTTTGGAGCGCCACTCTTGTTTGTCCCCAAGAAGGAAGGAGAGCTTCGTATGTGTATAAACTATAGGGGTTTGAATGCGATTACCGTGAAGAATGCTGAACCGCTGCCCAGGATAAACGATCTTTTAGATCGAGTGCAAGGTTGTAAGTATTTCTCTAAGATAGATTTGAAGTCCGGATATCATGAGATAGAGGTCCATCCTAATGACCAGCACAAGACTACGTTCCGGACTAGATATGGGCACTATGAGTTCATCGTGATGCCCTTTGGACTAACCAACGCGCCAGCTACTTTTCAGCGTTGTACGAATGATCTTTTCAGACCGTGGTTAGACAAGTTTGTAGTAGTCTATTTAGATGACATATTAGTTTTCAGTAAGACCCTTCAGGAGAATCAGGGTCATCTAAGGCAGGTCTTGGAGAAATTAAGAGAGTCAAACTTCAAGATCAACGCGAAGAAGTGCGAGTGGGCCAAGACACAAGTCTTGTACTTGGGCCACGTATTAGACGGAGATGGGATTAAACCTGAGGACAGCAAGATAGCGGCAATCAGAGACTGGCCGACGCCCCGCACATTGACAGAGTTGCGGTCGTTCTTAGGGCTAGCTAATTACTATAGAAAGTTCGTGAGAAACTTTTCTACTATCGACGCTCCCTTGCGCAGGTGGCTTAAGAGAGAGGCAATCTGGAAATGGGACAAAGATTGTACCTCTGCGCTAAAGAGACTAAAGCGCGCGTTGATAGAATATCCTGTCCTCAAAGTAGCTGATCCATCTTTGCCATTTGTCGTCACCATGGACGCAAGTCAGTATGGTATAGGCGCCATGTTGCAGCAAGATGACGACAATGGTTATAGACCCATAGAGTTCATATCCGCGAGGATGCCTTCAAAAAAAGTAGCCACCTCGACGTATGATAGAGAACTCTACGCTCTCAGGCAGACCTTAGAGCATTGGAAGCATTACCTGCTTGGGAGGCACTTCAAAGTGTATTCTGACCATGAAACGCTTCGATGGTTAAAGACTCAGGCCAATATGACACCTAAGTTGACTAGGTGGGCCGCGGAGATAGACCAGTTTGACTTCGAGCTCAAGCCAGTGAAGTGCGGATGCTCTAAGTAGAAGATCAGACTACTTTGGAGCCATAGTACACTATCTGGATATAGGGAGAGACCTGCAGGAGAAAGTGAGGCAAGCGTATGCGCAGGACCCTATCTATAGTGACCTCCTAAGGAAAGTTAGAGAGGCCCCAGAGACAGAGCCAGATTACCGCACTACAGACGGGTTGCTGTTTGAGATGACTAACGTATTCGGCCGTCTATGCGTTCCGAACAGCGAGGAGATCCGCAATTTGATCCTAGGGGAATGCCACGATACAGAGGGACATTTCGGTTGGCAAAAGACTCTAGCCAATCTAATGCATGCGCACACCTGGCCCGGAATGAAGAATGGTTGCATAGTGTGTCCGCAGTTGCGAAGTTTGCCAGAGGAACAAGACCACTACGCGTGCCCCTCTAGGTCTTCTCAGACCCTTGCCTATTCCTGATCAGCCGGGAGACTCGGTGTCCATAGACTTCATGGATACCCAAGTCAAGAGTAGACAAGGTAAAAGCCAAGTCATGGTCATAGTCGACCGATTTAGCAAGTATGCCGTTTTTGTTCCTTTGCCTGCAGAGACACGCACAAAATTAGTTATTTGGAAGTTTTTTGATCATTGCGTTAGTGAGAACAGAGTCCCATTATCCATAGTTAGAGATAGTTGTTTCACCAGCCAGAACTGGCAAGAACTCGTGAGAGTTTACGGGTCAAAGTTATCAATGTCATCTGGTCGTCACCCACAGACCAACGGTCAGACAGAACATATGAACAAGATCCTACTGTAAGTTCTGCGTATGTACATTAGACCTGACCAGATCAACTGGGATTAGATGTTGCCTAAGGTAGCTAGCGCATACAATAACAACGTGCATCTATCCACCTGTCGCACTCCCAATGAGCTGCACAAGTCCTTTAGACCACGCAGACCGATCGAAGGACTGGACCGGGATCAGATTCACAGGCTACCGCCCGAAACCAGGGAGTTCGTGATACAGCACGAGAAGGAGCTAGCTACAGTTGTTGAGAACCTCAGGAAGGCCCAACACATAATGATAGAACAGGCCAATAAGCACCGTCGCCCATCGCAGTTTCAAATAGGCGACTTAGTCTGGGTCAAGTCTAAAGAGTTTACACCTGAGGAGCACATCTCACAGAAGTTGCTACCTGCATATAGAGGACCGTGGCCAGTGCTAGAAGTCAAGGGTGGAGAGGATGGACCGTCCTACACTATCGAGATTCCAGCACACCTCCCACATACCCTGTTTTCCATGCTTCAAAGTTGTTGCCGTGTGTCACAAGTCAACAATTCCCTTCAAGAAGATCCATGATCCCCCCGGATATGGATGGAAGTTATGACATTGACGGCATTGTAGATGAGGATGTGTTCAGAACAGGAGGTAGAGGTCGTCCCCAGAAACAGTATAAGGTCCGGTTTGCTTATCAAGAACCGAAAGACGACCGCTGGTTTACAAGGACATAACTTCTAGAAACAGCTCCCGACATAGTCAGAGCCTATAAGAGTGATAAGAAGGGTAAAGGTCCTGCCTTGGACTGAAATATTCTCGGAGGACCTCAAATTTAGGACGGTGGGAGTGAAACGGTTTTCACCTCTTTGCAGTAGTAGACGCAGATCCCAGGGTTCGATCCCTACACCTTGCCCTACCTGTGTACAATACCTGTGTAGACTCCGAGAGTTGAACCTGTGACCTGTGTATTCATAAACAGTTGATAGGCTGTCATAGGTCCGTAGGTAGCAGGGGTCCGAAGTCTTAGCGAAGTCTAGAAGTCCTAGCTGTAGCCTTCTAGAAGGTCAGCAAGTGGGCAAGTGGGCAAGTTGTGAGTCAAGTGGTGGACTAAACTGCAGTGCAATTGCAGTACGACGGTGGTAGGTTAGCGGTGAGTCCCCACTCAGTCCGCGGTAAGGTCCTGTCAGTCCCAGTCCGGTCCAGCAAGTACCATAAGGGACTGTGAGCACCAGGCCGATGGAAGAGGGCAGACCAACGAGTTTCAGAAGTATAAATCAAGAGGCAGCGCCCAGCCTTTCATTCATTGCTGCGTGAGTGCAGAAAGGTGAAAACCGTTTCACCCCCATTTCTCCCCCCCTCCGTCTCCCTCCTCGTCCATTTTCCTCCCGCCATCTTCCCTCCTCCACCTCCTCCTCAGTTCGTCGTCCGTGTTTTGTGTTTTTTTTTTTGTTTTCGGTTCTCAACCTCTCAAACTTCTTCTTCTTCCACGTCAGAGCCCTCTGTCTGTTTTTTTTTTTTTTCCCCCCCTGCCTTTTACACTGTGCACGAACTGCCAACAAGCAGTCCAATGGCTCCTTGTCTTCGCCATTCATCCTCCATCTTTGCTGTTCTTCTCCTTGTTCTTGTTCTTGTTCTTGTCCTTGTTCTTGTTCCTCCTCTTCCTCCTCATCGGTTCTTCTTCTTGTTTTTGTTCTCCTTCTTCTTCTTCATTTTGTTTTTGTTTTTGTTTTGTTTCTTCTTCTTCTTCTTCCATGTCGGAGCCCTCTGTCTGTTTTTTTTTATTTTTCCCATGTCTTTACGCTGTGCAAGAACTGCCAACAAGCAGTCCAATGACTCTGTCCTTCACGCTGTTCCAGATCTGGAACTTCTCGCTGTCGCATATCCAGAACCGGTTCTGGAAGTGGTTCCTATTCCAGATCTGGTTCGGTTTCCCGTTACAGATCCGGAGCGAGCTCTGGAACTTCCTGTCCCAGATCTGGACCAGCTGCAGGAACTGGTTGCTGTTCCAGATCTGGAGCGAGTTCTGGAACTTCCTATTCCAGATATGGAGCAACTCCAGATCAAGAAACTCTTCTGGAACTCGTTCCTGTCCCAGATGTGGAACTATTTGCTGTCGGAGATCCTCAACCGGTCCTGGAACAGCAACGAATTCCAGATCTGGAACAGGAAACAGTTTCAGATGTGGAACATGTTACTGTACCAGCGCCGGTTGAGGACTTGCGACAGCAAAACGTGTTGCTGTACCAGCACCGGTTGAGGATTTGCGACAGCAAAGAGTTCCACATCTGGAACATGAACCAGTTCCAGAACTATTTCTGGATCTGCAGCTGCTCCAGATCTGGAACAGGAAGTTCCAGAGCTTGTTCCAGATCTGTAATGGCAAACAGATCCAGATCTGGAAGAGGAACCACTTCCAGAACCGGTTCATCTGGGCTCTGCAACTTCCTGTTTCAGATCTGGAGAAGCTGCAGATATTTGATTCGAAACTCGTTGCTCCAGAACCGGTTGAGGATCTGTGACAGCAAACCGTTCCAGATCTGGACAGGAAGCAAACCCAGAACCAATTCCGTATCTGCAGCTGCTCCAGATATTGAACAGGAAGTGCAGAGTTTGTTTCCGGATCTGTAATGGGAAACAGATCCTGATCTGGAACAGGAACCAGTTCCAGAACCAGTTTTTTGAACTTGTTCCTGTTCCAGATCCGGATCTTTTCTCGTTTCAGATCTGGAAAGAGTTCTGGAACTTCCTGTTTTAGATCATGAGCAGCTGCAGATACACAAACTGTTCTGGAACTGGTTCATATTTCAAATCCAGAACAGTTTGTTGTTGCAGATCGTGAACAGCTTCTGGAACGGCAACGAGTTCCACATCTGGAACCTTTTCCTATTCCAGATGTAGAAGAGTTTCGTCGTCCAGATCATGCCCTCGGAGCCTCGGTCTGTTTTTTTTTTTTTTCCTGTCCTTTTTGGTCCTGCTAAGTTGTTCACAACCGATTGTTGCTGACTGGGTTTCTGTTTGCTTGCTTTTTCGCTGCGGCTCCACTTCCTGATGCTACTCTGGTTTCCCTTCTTCTTCTTCTTCTTCTTCCCTGCATCATGGCGTCGTCTAGTCGTGCAAATGGCCGGGCTGAGAAGGGAAAAGGGGCTGAGAAGGCAAAGGCCAAGAGTAGTGCACCGCCCATTCAGCCCCCTTTTGAACCACAACCGGAGGAGAACAAGCATCAAAGGGAACAGCAGAATGAATCCGTCGTTTACCGATGGATAGAGAGGGGGCAGCCGACCGAGACGAAGGGCTATGGCCAGTACTGGGTTCGATGCGGACTGTGCAACAAGCAGTTTACTGCATCGAACACTCGGGCGATGGATCACTTCTTGAAGAAGGGGAAGCCATGCCCGTACTGCACTGGCGAGATACTGCACGAGCTCGCTTTGCAAGGGGTGAATATAGTCGGGGAGGCCTCCACGAAGATGCTGTTTCAGTACAGGATGCAGAAAGGAATCGTGGAGGACACTGGAATGGAGCCTGCTGGAGGAGACAAAGATGAGATTGCTGAGTTGGAGGAGCATCTTCGTCCACCACCACCGCCAGGGAGAGCCGAGTGCAGTGCAAGAGGCACGCCAAGGGACCGTGTTGGACGCAATAGACAACAGACAAGCGTTTGCACCGGTGGGAAAGTCCGACAAAGGCTCATCCACTCCAGCAAAGCTTTCAAGGCAAGTCTCGATCTGGCGGTGGGTGGAAAACACCGCACAAAAGAGATTGGACGCGCAGTGGGGGAGGGCATTGTTCCGATCGGGAGTCCCCTTAAACTTGTTGCGAGTCGATGAGACACGGGCATTGCACAACCTGTACATGGAGCTCGGACCCACAAAGATAGTTCTGGACATGCCATCTTCAAAGACCATCCGGACAGTGGTTCTAGACCTGGTCTACAACCAAGTGCAGAAAGCAGTGCAGCCAATCATTGATAAATGGGACATCAGTGGATGCACGCTGATCACCGATGGGACAACGGACAGGAAGTGGATGCCCGTGATCAACTTCATTGGCGCAGGGGAAGGTGGGCTGTTCTTCTCAGGGTGGTGGACATGCAGCACAGGAAAGCGACCGCCACAACAATTGCAAAATTGTGGGAAGAGGTCATCAGAGAAATTGGGGTGCACAGGGCCAATGCGATCTGCACCGACAACGCTGGAGCTAACAAGCGGGCTGCCCGGCGGAGTGATCCAGACATTGCCAAAATTCCATGACTGCCTTGCGCTGCACACACTCTCAATCTGCTGATGAAAGGGATTGCAAATCTGCAGTGGGTGGCGAAGCATGTGAAGAGGGCGAAAATGATGGTGAGGTTCATCAAGAACCACCATCATACAGTTGCCCTTCATGCGAGGTTCGCTAGAGGAGACAAAGACACTAATCATGCCAACCGAGCTCCATTTCGCATCGACGTACCAGATGCTGGAGAGGTTGCATGATAGACGGTGGGTCCTTGATGAAATGATGGACAAAAGGTGGAGGGAAATCCACTGGAGCACAAGGAAGTTAAGAAACAAGGCTGGCAACGTGTTATCTGACCATGAGGTCAAACGAGTGGTGGGAAGAAGTGGAGCGGATTGTAAAGGTTATGAGGCCGATGAGCGAGCTCCTAAGAAGGATGGATAGTGATGGTTTGGCGCCCTCACAGCTGTGGGTGTTTGATGAGATGCTTCAGGGCCGCCTGAGGAGGCTGCTTGAGGAGCATTGGCGGCCTTATGCTGGAGCAGCAGGAGGACATAATGAGAGTCGTCGTTGATCGATGCAGGATGATGTGCCAACCGGCGCATGCAGCCAACTTTCTCCTCTCCCCCCTCAGGAGGGACCCTAGATGGGTGTTGGATAGGCAAACTCCCCTAGTGCAGAACGCTCAAGTATTTCTTAACACAACTCGATGGGAAGAGGTGGGGGGCATTGCAGTCTCACATCGTGTGTGGCAGAGCCTATGGGCTTTTCACTGCGAGCCACCTAGGGAGCAGCAATTCAAGGAACCCACGTGGGACACATTCGGGCAAGCAGATGCCTCCTTGACCCGCAAAACAGCGTCACTGTGGTGGGCAACTTACGGTTGTAACCACAAGGACCTGCAGAAGATCGCAACAAGGGTCACAAACGTTTCGAGCACAACCACACCCTCAGAGAGAAATTGGTCCTCCCTTGACTTGATCCACAGCAAGAGGAGGAACAATCTCTCGAGCGAGAGTTTGGCGAAACTTGTTATGTGCATTGGAACATGCAGCTGCAGAGCATTCCAAGAAGTATGAAGGACGGGTGGGTTGATGTGTGGGCAACATTCTTCGACGACCCCGAGCCTCCATCCCCGAATGATGGTGCGATTTTGTCGGGGCCTTTGGAGATGACGGAGGAGTTGCAACGGCAGGCTCGCTTGACAAAGACCCCAAGGGGGAGGATTCCGAAAGATCTGGATTCAGATGATTCTGCTGCATCGAGCAGCCACGATAAGATAATCTGGAGTGAGAAAGGGAGCAGAAGGACAACCGTTGCGAGACGCAAAGGGCAAGGCCCTAATGGGAGAGGAGGATGAGGAGGTTGAGCGGGGGGAGGAGGAGGATTCATATGCAGACTCGGACTTTGAATTGCTCCCACTTGAGGACAACGATAAATCTGATGATGACTCAGGCACGTTGTCTCTTGCTGCAGACCTGCTTCTATCGTCCCAACGTCAGTGCGAGAAGGAGAGAGACTGCGTTGATGAGGAGGAGAGGGCAGCACCAAAGGCTCTAGCACACAAGGATCAGATGAGGGTGCAGCAACGCATACACAAGGGTGAACACACATGGAGCGGCATCTGCACCTCCCTCCGCATGCACAATAGGGGCATCTGCACCTCCCTCTGCATGCACAACAGGTGGACTCCACACAAATGAGGTGCAACAACACCACCATCTACAACATGTACATGTGTTGCTGCAGCAAACAGAGAAGCAACAGATAGAACACCCGCCTCAGCTGCAGGACCTTCAAAAACAGTTGCAACAACAGCAGCATGAGAAGGGCCACAATCAGCGCAACGTGTGACTGGGACAGCAACAGCAAAAGGAGCAGCATGTCGTGCAACCGAAGGAGCAGCCCGCCCAATGTATCGTGCAGCGAGAGCAGCAACAGGGGCAACAACATGACCAACCGAAGGGCCAACAACAAGAAGAGGACGAGCAACAACCACCATACGTAGATTGCCCTCCTCCCTTTCCAGAGATGGCTAAGTCTCTCGTTCATGACAACTTGGAAATCAGCAGGGCTGGGAGGAAAGAGAAAAATGGACCCGAGTCTCCAATCGCTCCAGTTCTGAAGCGTGGGTGGGGCAGACCGAGAAAGGGACAATGAAGACCTGACCCGCCGCCACCACCACCAGCAACATCCCGCCCTTCCACACGCAGTGGGGGCAGGAGCCATCCACAAAACAAGGGAAACCCGAGCACAGGTGGAAAGCGCATGCAAGTCATCGAGGATGATCCGACGGCGCGGGAGCAGAGTAGCATAGATGAGGAAAGCACGGACGGGGACAATGATGCGAGCAACGACTCCGACCCTGAATGGCAGTAGATTAGGTGATAGTCTTAGGGTGGTGATTGGGCATCATGATACCCAATCACCACCGTAAGACTATCACCTAATCTACTGCCATTCACGGTTGCAATGTAGCTATTGCCACCTTGTAGCGCTGCACTGCCGTGTTAGGCGGATGCAACAAACATTGTTAGACAGACATACTTCTCCTTTCTCTTCTTCTTCTTCGTCCTCCTCCTCTTCCTCCTCCTTTTGTTCTTGTTTGTTCTTTGCCTTTCAGGAATATCAAAGCACTTGCAGTTAGGCAGCATGTCAATTTTTCAGACTTTCAGTACTTCCAGGTTTCTCTGTCTGTTTAAGCTTTTCTGTTGCTGTTGCTGCTCAGGTGTGCTTTGCTATTAGTTTGTCAAACTTATCACATCAGACGCTGATCGTCTTAGGGTGGTGATTGCACTGATTGGGCATCACGTAGTGGCAATGTAGGCACTGACGGCCTATAGCACTGTGCTGCTATGCAGGGTGGATGCAACAAACAGGCATACACTTTCTTCTTCTTCCTCCTCCTCCTCCTCTTCCTCCCCCTCCTTGTCCTCCTCCTACTACTTCTTCTTCTTCTTCTCTTCTTCCTCTTCTACTTCTTTTTCTCTTCTTCCTCTTCTACTTCTTTTTCTCTTCTTCAGAAGTTCAGATTCCCTTAGGTACACTTCGGGCTCACCACTTGAGATAGTCCGTTTGCCCCCTCATAGTGGACCGAACAAACCAAGCCATGGTTTAGGTTCAACCCTGAGGGGATAAGCATAACCTTGAGGTGGGTAACCCATAATCCTTCCTGTGTGGTGTCCATGCTGCAAAGACATAGATTGCGGTCTGCCGCTGGTCTGGGACGCTTGTCGGG